GCTGTGAGCGGGTAATCGAACTCGGGTGGCCGAGTTCGTAGCGCGGTGCGCTAACCACTGCGCCACCGTTCCCACGCACACACACGCACGCACATGCAGGTCCAATCTCACAGACGACAAACAGCCAATGAAACTCAACTCACTTCCATGCATATCAACGCGGTAACCACAGATCACCATCACACCAATTTATATGCACACCGACAGCAACAACCGTGGCGGTGAAGTCACCACGGCGCTTGTGCCAGACTATGGGTCCGTCCATAAATTACGTCACGCGATTTTGGACGATTTTTGACCCCCCCCCCTTCGTCACACGACGTCACAAAAAGTCAGACCCCCCCCTCAAATATGAAGTCACAACGCTCTGCCCCCCCCTCCCCACAAAAAAATAAAAAATGCTTCAAATCGCTTTAAACTATTGTCATTGTAGTGCGTATTTAATGTGGCGCTGCACTCTGATGTTGTAGGAGAAAACATTTATTAAAAAGTATATTTAATTAAGTAGAACGTGTTATCTATATTTTATTTAAAGTTGCGCATTTTGATGTGACGTCACATTTCTCACCCCCCCCCCCCCCTCGTCACACATCGTCACAAATGTCTGACCCCCCCCCCCCCAGGTGCGTGACGTAATTTATGGACGGCCCCTTATGTGCATGTTGAGGCCACGTGAAGTGTCCAACGCCCGCTGGCAGGAGGTCACGGGGCAGACCCAGCAGGTGCCACGGGTCGACTGCCTGAGATGACAGGCCGATGCACCACCTGTGCCCCCCTGATGTGCCAGGCTAGGTGCACCAGGAGGTCATGGGGCAGACCCAGCAGGTGCCACGGGTCGACTAGCACAAGTCCTCCACTCACAACCACGATGGCGACGGCTTGGGCAGGATTTTATCCAGCAGTGGATCATGGCTGATGATGTAACAGCTTCATGAATACCCTGTACTACAATGGATTACTTTACGACGTACATATGTAATGTGAGGTTATATCCGGGTCGTTGACGGATTACAACTCGTCACGATGATTCGCTCTGCCGGTCCTGGTCCATAGCCAATGGGGGGGAAGCCTAGGGGCGTGGCCCTGACGTAATGGCAAGGTGACAGCTGTTTGTAGAGGATTGGTTCTGCTGGCTTTAGCCACAGCCAATGGGGAGACGAGTCAGGGGCGTGGTCCCGGGAGCCTATGCGGGAGTCTGGAATATTCCATAGAGGCTAACCAAAATTGGTGGAAACGTACCACGTGACCCGGGTATTAAATAGGGGTGGAGACGAGCAACACGTGGTCAGAGCTGGAACGAACGAAGGAGGAGGCCACGCGAGAGCGGGCCTCCAAATTGCCACGTGGCTGCGCGTCTCTCTCTCTATCCCTCTCACACTGCCGGTCAGCAGCGTGAAGGAGAGCTGTAATGAAAAGTGAATAAAAGACCAGATTCCAGAAGTCGCCTCAACGACCCTTATTACACACTAGCGGTTAGTACCCGGCGTTGCCCGGGCGAAAAAGGCAGACACACATGTAGTTACACACACAAATCGACTGACACACACACACGTAGAGTTACACACACATATGGACTCACACATACATACATAGACTGAACAACAACAACCACCATTCGCCAGTAAGTGGCGGTGACATCACCAGGCCACGTAAAGTGTCGAACGCCCACTGGCAGGAAGTCACGGGGCAGACCCAGATGGCACAGGTCGACTGAGTTGAGACGACTGGCTGATGCACCACCTGTGCCCCCTACTGTGGCAACTTGCTGTGCTTTAGTCACCCGGCGCTCCGCTCGTTGTTGTGAGCGTCGCTCCTCCGCTCTCCGTTGTTATTGGAGGGTGAATGCCTCCAACTGCCCAGTAGCATCCTTCAGGAGGCTCCTCCACAGAGGCCGATCTTGACATGGCTGGTTCCAGTCATCGGCAAGTCGACTCAGCTCCACGTCCTCCTGTACCACATCACTCCATGTCTTGTCTAGCCCGTGCCGGGCCGTTTAGCCCCCTCGATCCGGCCGAACAAAAGATGTTTAGGCATGCGGTGTCTGGCCATGCGGGCTACATAGTTCAGGCAACGCAGCCTTACCTGGCGGAGGAGCTCACCGATGGGACTTTGTCCACATCTTTCAAGGATGTGTGAGCTCCTCACCACACAATGCAGCCTCGTAAAATCCAGGATGGATCGTAGGCAGGCCATCCTAAATGTTTTTAACCGGCGAAGATGTTCCATTAGGGGGGCGCAAGCGTAGAGAAGGGAGGGAATGACCGTGGCCGAGAAGACCTGAAGCTTCATGCGGAGTGATAGACCAGGTAGCTTCCACACAGTGTTACGCAACCAATGAGAAGATAATGTGGCTCGACTGTTTCGGAGTGGGACCTCTGCTGCTAAACCGGAGCCGGTCATTAGCACACTGGCAAGGTATGGGAAACTCTCCACTGTCTCCACACATGCCCCATCACCAACTGGAAGTTGTGGGGGTGGAGTGTCCGATGGTAGAAAATACCCAGGCAGGTGCTTAGTTTTGGTGGGGCTGATGGTAAGGCCCCACCTCTTGGTGGCAAGCTCCAGGGTTCAGCAGCAGCACTTGGAACTCCTCCTCCGAGTGAGCAGCAATTAGTAGATCATCGGCATACGTAACGTGGTTGAGCAATAGGGAGCCATCCCTTGACCACACCCGGGCATCGATCAGCCTCCCATTGTATCTGTACCAGATGGAAATTCTAGCGGTACAGCCATTGGAGGCTTCACGAACTACGTGGTCCAAATATATGTAAAATAATGTGGGAGCCAGAGGACATCCCTGTCACAGCCCAATATGTACAGGGAATGGCTCTGGCTCACGTGCACATAGTTTGACGCGGGGCCGCTCACCATCATGAAGGTCCTTAAGGATGGTGAGCAGTGGGTGAGGGACTCGGAAAGCACGAAGAACAACCCAGAGGCCAAACCTACTGATGGTATCATAGGCGTTGAGCAGGTCAATAAAGCACACACATGGACTAAGACGTACACATGGGCCTACAGACACGCAAAAAAATGGACTTACACTGACTAACATGGAGGCATGCACACACAGCAACTAACACACACGCACATGGACTCAGACACACACACACATATGGACTCACACACACAAACACATCGACTTACACACACACATATGGACTGACACACACATGGACTTACACACACAGACATCCACTTGAGATACACACACATGGAGTTACAAAGACATATCGACGTACACACATACAACGACTCACACAAACACATCGACTAAGACACACACATATGGACTTACACACACATACATAGACTGACACACACATTGCCCTACACAACAATTAGACATATGTACTGTGACACACAGACATCTACTTTAGATACACACACATGGATTAACACACATCGACTGACACACATAGACACACAAACGCACATTGACTTACACACTCAGATAGAGCCATGCAAACACATCGACTCACACACACACGCATTCACTTAGACACACAAACATCGAGTGGAACACACACGTATGGACTTACACACACATGTGGACTAACACACACACAGCGACAGATATGCACACAAATGGACTGACACACACACAAACACTTGTACGTACACACACATGGGGCGTTGTCCGTTTGAAAAAGACAGACACACAGATGGAGCCACACACATAGAAACCCATCGACTTACACGCACATAAAGACATATGGACTCACACACACAGACATCGACTTTAGGGACACACATGTAGTTTCTGCACACAAACATTATCACTGTAATATTTGTAAACTTATTTGTTTAATAATAATAAACAATAAACATCAGTTCTTAACGAAAGATGCAAGAAAATTGTACTTTACATTGGCATGGTGACGCGTCATCCCGTGCAGAGCCCGCGGCCTCGCCTAGATTGGCAAACCGGAGGTGAGACGTTGCCAGGCTGCGAGCTGTGCCAACAAAGGATGGGGTACGGGGAAATGCACAGATTATATCCAAATGCAATGCATAACCAGTGCCGGATTAAGCTAGTGCGGGGCCTGTAGCAAATGTTATAAAGGGCCCTAAATGAAATAAAATAAACACGTAAATATTAAAAACATAAATTTTTAACCTGCATATTAATTTTAGTTTGTTTTTAATTTGCTATACAGCCATATAATACGACAAATCGCTAACCTTAAACACCCAATCGTCCATAAAACTTGAAGGCAGTGTAGTACTATAGTAACAGTGGAAGTGCAGAATCACCGAACCGGCATTGATAGCTTGAAAGCGTTAGCGCGGGGCCCTTGAAAGTGCGGGGCCCGTAGCTACTACATATGTATAGTAGTAGCTACATGTGCTACGAGGATAATCCGGCATTGTGCATAACAAAGCATGCGTGTCGTGGACAACACACCTGGAAATATGTAACTTTTCGCGCGTGCAACTTATCCTTTCGCAGTAGCAGCAGCAACAACAACAACAAAAAGTTTCAAGTACACATTTTTTCAAGTACCACATTCAAGTACATTTCTCCAACGTGATCAATTCTCGCCCCCTCTGCCTGTGACAATTGTAACGTGTCACCCATGACCCCCCCCCCCCCCCTCTGTTCAGCATCACTCTTCGCATGTGTCTTGAACTTCTTTCGCACCGCACGTAGCCAACCAACCGTGCTAATCGGGGGGGGGGGGTCCGTGACCCCCTGTGAAAGGGTTCCCTACCAAGATCCGCATCTCCCCCCCACCACCACCCCCCACTGAACAGAGCTCACCCTCCGTCTGCATCATCTTCTAACCCCGCCTGCAATTAATGCGACGACGCATGGCCGTCGCCTGGGTTGAATTCGATGACGATGGCAGTAATTGCCACGCAGCAAAGCCGCGTCGATGCGTCCATGCCCCAGGGGGGGGGGGGGAGAGCGCAACACCCCAACGCTGACCGCAGTGACCGAGGCGGCTATATAAGCGACGGCGTAGGCACAGGGCAGTCAGGTAGGGGCAGGGCAAGCGGAGGAGTCAGGATACGAAGTTGGAAAGGAACGCTTGGAGGTGCGAGCCAGAGCCATGTCTCTGCGTGGCGAGGTGCCCGTGGTACCGTCTCTGCTGTCCATGGTGGCGGTGTTCATGGCGGTTGCGGCGATGGTAGCGACGGCTGATATGTTCCGACCGGGAATCGTGCAGGTGAGCGAGCGGACGCACTTTTCTCACCACCGAAGTTGTGTGTCAATATCTATCTATCGAGCTATCTATCGATAATGATGAAAAATAAGTAGAGATTTTACCTTTTCTCACATTAAAGGAGGAGGTGCTAAGATGGTAGAACAAACGAATAGATGCATGTTCAAGAGCGTCGAGGCTGCAGTTAGCACACATATTTTGTGGCAAAATATGCACGCAAACATGCTCGATTATATGTGTAATATTGTAAATTACGGCGGGAGACCACTTGACGGGTAGCACACTTTATTAACACTTGTCTTTGCCACAATAACACGTGTGGTCACTACAGCTCACGCTACACGTTCCACCCGGCTACACACACACGGGCTCTCCAGCCCCGTAGCTTCCAGGGGAACCTACAGACCCACCCCAGCTTGGGTATGGGTCACGACCACTGGGTCCCGTGGCCCGGCCCTCACACAGACGTCCGGCTCCGGGTCCCAAGGTCCCGCCTCTGAGCCACACAGGGTCCCGGCCCTTACAAGGACAGCGGGACTAGGGGTCTCAGGGCCCTATCTCTTTCTCCTCCGTCTTCCGTTTTCACTGGTCACCAACTCCCCGAGCGCCCGCGCGCATCGCCTTTTATAGTCCTCCGCTCCCGGGGAGACGGAGCCTATGCGGACCTCGATGTGAGCACCCACCCTTGTTGACCAATCACCACGCGCTGCCACACAATCCCTTTTCCCAGCTTGTGTCAGCGCACACAACCAATCACCACGCGCTGCCACACGATCCATCACTGTCAGCGCGCGTCACCACTACACAGCCAATCACCACGCGCTGCCCCACGATCCCTACTGCCAGCGCGTATCACCCCTACATCACCCCCTCCCACATAGCTCGCAGCCGGCCTGGGTGTTAAAACAAAAAAAAACCCCACTCCCCAAGTGTGCCCCGTAACATAACCACAACGCAACACAACAACACAACACAACGTTAACCAGTAACCACAACGACCTATATACAAACCGACGAGCAACACAATAAAAGTTATTTTGAAAAAAACCGACGTGTCCAGTGTCTCCTCGACTCCCGATCCCCCTCCCGCTTGCTCCTTGAACGGAACAATAGAGCGGTCGAACGGACGGGGAACGCCGTGACGAGACGATCCGGCCGACTCGTCCCGCACCTCCACCTAATTTTTTGGGTCAGGAAAAGTTGCGCGACCTAGCGCAAGTCCACCTGGCCGGTCCGTCGTACGGGACCGGACGCTGTCGACCGTCCGGTGGCTCCGGCAGTCCAGGAAGGCACGGTTCGGGCCTGGAAGAACCGTCCGTGCCGTGGGGATCCGGTCGCCGGTCGTCGGCAGCCGTCAGTTCTGAGACACCTGGGAGCGGATCAGGCGAAAACATGTGAGGATCAGGCGGAGACATTTCCCTCTCCGGGTCGTCGGTCACATCACATGCTCGGTCCTCACGACATAAAGGAAGGCCATATGGTGGCGAGAACGGTTTCAGCCGGAGGGGTGAACGTACCAACGGCGCTTTCCCCACTTTATCTGAACACACTGGGGGCGTGCAACTTGCACGACCTCCACGGGTCCCTGCCATGGCCTCAATAATTTAGGCAACGTAGCCAAAGGTGCATGAGGGTAGTGCAGCCAGGCCCTATCGCCCGGTTTCCAATCGTGCACGGACACCGTCCGTGCACGCAAGCGCTCGTTAGCGATTTGGCGAAACCTCGAATTAAGTCGTGCGGCCTCCCGTGCCTCGGCCAGTTTTGCAATGTTAAATTTAATATGGTCGGCCAACTTGGAATTAGGCCGTGGCATGGAAAGTCCCAGCTGAGTCTCCATGGGCGGATCGGCCTCCCGACCGTACATCATATAAAATGTGGAAAATCCCGTTGCTGCATCGGGGGACTTTCTGTACGCGGCGAGGACCCCCGGAACCTGCAAGTCCCAGTCAACCTGTGCCTCGCACACCTGCTGGCACAACATGGAAGTTAAAGTTCTGTGGAGCCGCTCCACCATCCCGTCAGTCTGTGGGTGGTACGGGGAGGTACGCACCTTTTTTGTACCCAAAAGGTCGCACACCTCCTGCAGCGATTTGCTCTAAAAATTATTTCCCTGGTCGGTCAGCAAGCGTTCGGGAGCCCCCTTGTCCAAGACGTAGCCTTGGACAAAGGCGTCCGCTACGGCCGCCGCCGACTGGTTGGCGAGTGGCCACGCCATAGGCCATCGGGTAAAGTATTCCACACCAACCAACAGGTACTTGTTACCCCTAGGCGTGAAAGGAAAAGGCCCCAAAATATCCAGCGCAACGAGCTCGTTAGTGCGTGAGACCTGAATGGACTGCAGCGGTGGATTCGGCGCAATGGGCGGTGGTTTCCGTTTGGCGCAATCCACACACCCCTTCAGTATATTGACCACATCGCTCCCCATTCCCGGCCAATAATAGTCACGCTGGAGCAGAGCGAGCGTTTTGTTTACACCCAGATGCAAGAGGCGTTCGTGTGCGGCCAGAACAACTTTGCCCCGCATAGCGGAAGGCACGACGAGTGCGTGGCGCCGGGACATATTGTCCCATCTCATTAGCAGGCCCTGCTTGAGCAGCCAGGAGCCAGCTCGTTTTGACCTTCCTCGGGACCACCCGCCCTGCGACGCAACGCGAGCAGGGAGCTGTCAGCCATCTGGAGTCGGCCCCACTCAACGAGAGACAGTGAAAGTAGCGAGTCCCCGCCCGCAGGAGTAGCGGGAACGTCAACCGACGGCGCATTCGCGGCCGCGACCAACTCACCCTCGGGCACAGCACCTGGCGGTTTACAGCGCGCCGACCCCATCAAGCACGCACATTCGGGATGAGGCGACAACCGCGACAGGGCATCCGCGTTGGTATGGCGCAACCCCTTACGGTAAGTGGTCATAAATTGATAGTCTTGGAGGACCTCCAACCACCGTGATAATTGGCCCGAGAGTTGGGCGACCCTTAATGCGTACTGAAGCGCAGCGTGGTCCGTCCGGACCGTAAAATGACGGCCATAGAGATAAGGTCTAAATTGCTGTACAAAAAAACAATAGCCAGCAACTTGCGACGGGTCACGCAGTAGCGCTGTTCCGCTAGCGACAAAACCCTGCTACTATAGGCGACCACCCGTTCAACACCCCCAACGACCTGTGAGAGCACCCCCCCAATGCCTGTGTTACTAGTGTAGAGGTGTAATTATGTATGGGCACGGATGGCTAACAAACACAAGGGGCGTGGTTAGGGCCGTACACAGAGGAGGTGCTCACACCGACGTCCGCACCTGCATCCCCCACGGGCCCCTCCCGGGGGGCCGAGTACTATAAAAGGTGGTGAGCCGGAGGGCTCGAGGTCGAGTATTAGCTTAAACCAGCGAAGACTGCAGACCAGCTAGAATAGGCCCCGGAACTCCCCTGGCTCGCTGTCCTTGTCAGGACCGACCAGGGCAAGCCGGTGGCGTGGCCCTGAGAGCTCAGACTGACATTCTTATAAGAGCCGGTCTGGAGACTCAGGGTGCCGGGATCCCAGCTTGACCAGGGCTGGGATAGGTAGCCTCCCCTAGCTCCGTAGTGGAGGACTCGGGCGTAGGTTAGTGGGGTTAGATGTTGTGTCTCCCTGTTATACGAGTGAAGGGGACGATACCCCTTTAAGTACTGTGTGTACCCGTTACTGTGCACAAGTTGGTGTTAATAAATAAGTGTGCCTCCGACCCCGTCGTCAAGCCTCCTGAATACTTACTACACTAGCATCAGTATCCAGCATAAAGGGTCTCGTAAAGTCAGGGTAACATAAGGGCGGGGCACCCACCAAGGCGTCCCGGAGGGAGCAGAACGCCACCTCCTCCTCTGGCCCCCATCGAAACCTGACCCCTTATGCTGTCAGAGCGTGCAAGGGTTTGGCAATGGTGGCGAAATGCTCAACGAATCGGCGGTAGTAGGAAGCAAATCCAATTAAACTGCGGACCTCAGAGACCGACGTGGGCGTTGGCCATGAACTGACGCAGTTCGTCTTCGCGCGATCGGTGGAGATCCCCGAAGAATCGACAATGTGGCCCAAGTACCTTACGGATTTCCGAAGAAGGTGGCATTTAGCCGACTTAAACTTCAACTTAGCCGATCGCATCCGCAAGAACACCCCCCTTAATCGCTGGAGGTGTTCTTCGAAAGTTCTACTGAAAACAATGACATCGTCGAGGTAAATTAAGCAAGTATCCCATTGCAGACCCGACAAAACCAATTCCATGAGGCGTTGAAACGTCGCGGGAGCGGAATGGAGCCCCATGGGCAAGCAGTTAAACTGGAACAGGCCCCCTGGGGTCCGGAATGCGGTCTTAGGTTTAGATTCATCGTCGAGTGGCAGCTGCCAGAATCCCGACAGTAAGTCAAGTGTAGAAAAATACCGTGCCCCGGATAATGCGTCCAGGGACTCATCCATCCTAGGGAGCGGATATGCGTCAGCCACGGAGATTTTATTAAGGCGACGGAAATCTACACAAAAACGCAAGGACCCATCTTGCTTCTTAACCAGCACGATAGGTGCTCCCCACGGACTGGATGAGGACGAAATGATGTCGGCCGTCAGCATGTCATTGACGGCCGATTGAACGTGTTCCTTCTCGGCAGGACTCAGCCGAAAGGGATTCTGCCGGACTGGTGCCGCGTCACCCGTTTCAATGTGGTGGCGTAACAGGTCCGTTCACCCAATATCATATTTGTGCTTGCTGAACACATCGGAGAATTCGATCAGCAGAGCGCGCAGCGCACCCAATTGCACCCTGGACAAATCACTGGAGTCCGCACACAGCGAATCGACCCATTCAAGGTCCTCACCCGATTGAATTTTCTGCGCCAGGACGGGATCAACATGTGCAATAAGCCGCTCTTCCGCAGGGACCCGTGCCGCGTGAGCAAGCACGGTGCCCTGCGGAATAATGGCCGGCCGCGACCCAGCGTTTAAATCCATAACGAACGGGTCGCCGTCGGCCGAAACCAAGGTTTG